CTTTAGAAGGCTTAGGTCCTAAACAGTATCTGAGACTAGATTGAATGTGTCATATGTACCCAGATGGCCTACTATTCCCGGAATTTTTTTGAAGTGCGGTTCCGTGGACCCTTTTTTCAGCTAATATTGCCCACAACCCCTTGCCCGAGGGAGGGACGGAGGGAAGTGGTGTTTTTTGTGGTTTGATTTTGACCACTTTTTAGAGAAGTGTAAATGAAATGTTTAAAAAATGCATCAAGGGAAATGTACAGTGTGATGGTGTGGGTAACTAGGCAACAACGTGAACGCTGCTGTTACAGAAAACTAAATCAACACTTTCTGACCAATCAGAATCAAGAACTTAACACTGACGTGGTATAAATGTCATTAATCACTCGAGATACGGTATGAGTAGTGTCTGATATGCGTTTCTTTAGTTTTGCACTTGAAGCAGAAATCTACTGATGATAAAATACAATAAATGAGAGAAATTCTTAGCTAGCACTTTAGTTTACTGTCTAAATCATCACAGTGTTGGCCTTGAACAGTGCCGAGTTGTCCGATATATCACGGTTTCTTCTGTAGTTTCTGATTTTGTATGACACTGCTATCGGCAAATCTGGACAAATGATGGAGGTAGAAATCGTAGCGGCCAGTTTGAAGCTGAATGGAAGAAGCTTCCATGTAAGTGCCCCTGACACCAGAAATACTGTGGTATACAATAGAGGGAAAAGGCTGAGGTTTTTCTACTATACTGCTGATGGGAAAAGAGTGCAGTGGGCAGCACTGACATTAACCATGTTATCTGTCAGGCCTTATGACCGTCTTACAGACATGACCTGAAATATAGGTGTAGAGATGGAACATAAAGCACTGGGGATGTAGAAATGCCTCAAAGGCAGAGGAGGACTGATTCAATCTGCTTGCACACGTGCACACACACACACACACACACACACACACACACACACATAGGTTATTTAGAAATCACAAAGAAAGCCTTAGAAAAAGTTAGATATTTAAAAAAAAAAAAACTTGCCACATGCCAATCTCTGCACATCGCTTGTCAAATGTCTTTCCTCCGCCCCACTCGTCTCTTCCCCTCCCTTCACCTAAAAGAAGAAAACCTCCGAGAATGTGACAGCGACTAAACAATGTGGTGTCAAAAAAAGGGAGCAGGAGGGCTTTTCAGGCCGTCTGACAGGGAGGTGTTATCAGCCACCGAGCCCGGCTGTGCCCAGCCAGCCGACTCTGCTGTAATTGCTTCCATCGAGTGTCTCTGATTGAAGCTGTTTGCCATTCAGTGCTTATCTCTGAATGTGCACTCTGCTGATGGAGGCTTGGCCTGCGAAGGTAGCGTCAGCCCCACGCTAACCTCCGCTGGGATCTACAACCTGCCTGCAGCCGAAATCGCTATTCAAATACAGTAGCAGACATTTAGCATGGAGTAATGGATGGAGAGAGCGAGGGAGAATAGGGACAAGACCTTGAACAGACTACAAAGGGAGAAGAAAGACACAGTCTCCATAATGAACAAATTTCTGCCGTCCAAAACTCTGAGCTTATTAGTAGAAACTTTTTTTATTTATTAATTTTTTTCCAGAATTGATAGATGATTAGCAACGGACTTCAGTCAGTTCATTCTTGTTATACCATGGTCTGTCTGAATACTCGATTCTGATTGGCTGGAAGGTGTGTGTTCAAACCGTAAATACCACAGGTAGTTCCAGTCAGTTTAATCACTGTTCTAAATGAACGCGCTGCCTATGAACAACTGTAACCATAGTAACATACAGTTACAGCTGCATACAGTAGTTAAACTCACAGCTTCATTATTAGCAGAGACGCGGCACAGACGCAGGTAATTCATACACACACACACACACACACACACACTCACACACACACAATCTCTCTCTCACTAATTACTATTTATTATAATTTGTTCAATTAAAAGTAATCCTATTGCACTATTTTATCTCTGTGTATGATTTAGAGTGGGCAGAATTCTAGATCTAACGATATCTAGATACCGTATATAAAATAAAGAAAATGAACCGATATTTTATCCTTTCAGTGACATTTTGCACTGCAAATATCAATGACAGCTTTATTTTGTCAATGCTGGCACAGTAGAAGAAGGATAATCCACGGCTAGGTGTGCATTACACGATTTTAATGCTCTCCGCTTCACTTCAGGTGGTTCTTTGCTTTAAAATCGTGAATTATCCCTTACTTGAAGAATGGTACATTATCATCCATCCATCCATCCATCTTCTACCGCTTATCCTTTTCAGGGTCACAGGGAACCTGGAGCCTATCCCAGGAAGCATCGGGCACAAGGCGGGGTACACCCTGGACAGGGTGCCAGTCCATCACAGGGCACAATCACATACACTACGGACAATTTAGACACACCAATCAGGCTACCATGCATGTCTTTGGACTGGGGGAGGAAACCGGAGTACCCGGAGGAAACCCCCGCAGCAGTGGGAGAACATGCAAACTCCACACACACACACGACCCCGGCGAGAAACGAACCCCGGACCCTGGAGGTGTGAGGCAAAAGTGCTCCCCATTATCATCCATAATACTTTCATATTTAAGATAGATGAGTTTTACTAGATTAGTAAATGTAATCGAGGGCTGCATGGTGGTGCGGTTTTAGAGTTGAGTGCTCATGTGCGCTTCCTCTTACCTAGGAAAATAGCTCAATTCCTTCTGAGCGAGTGTATGATTGTGTCTTGCAATGGACTGGCAATAGTCCCATCAATAGTCCACCAAAACCTTGACTAGAATAAAGTTCTTACAGATGATGAGTTCTTTGCATCATGATGTATCGAGGCAATTTTCCCCAAATTACCACAGACAGCTCAAACTGATGAGTCATATCCTGGATGTACATGTCATTTACACCATCGTCGCAACTAGCACTAACAGAAACCTCGTGGCACAGAGCCGAGTCTAGTAGGTTTAGTAATTACATTACTATGAAGATAATCTGATCTGGGAAACTACAGACATGAGCAATAAGGCCTGAAGTTAATTCACATTGTCACATATATATCTGTATTTTTCAGATATGATTAATAATCCTGTTTGAAAAATATTATCTGACCAAACTGTGTGAGAAACTTTACAACTTCCAGGTTCCCAGTTCAATCCTGAGCTCAGGTTGCCCTCTGTGCAGAATTGTGCATGTTGTACGAATGTGTGTGTGTGTGTGTGTGTGTGTGTGTGTGTTTCCTCCTGGTTCTCCATTTCCCTTCCAAAAACTTTCCTGTAGGTCGATTAGCTACGCTACGTTTCCCCTAGGTCTGAATGTGTGTGTACATGTTGGCCTGTGATTGAGTGGTGTCCCATGGCGTGTTCATACACTATTCATTCTTCACACTGTATTCCTTACTCATGCCCAGTATTCCCGGGATAGGCTCCGGATCGACTCTGGCCCTGACCAGAATACCGCACTTACTAAAGATAACTGAATGAACGACTCGATTCCTTGTTTTCAAAAACTTTCCCTGACCCTTTAATAATACCTTATCCAAGGATATCTGAATGGCTTATGACTTATTCACACTGTTTCTCGTCGTTTTAATATATATATATATATATATATATATATATATATATATATATATATATATATATATATATATATATATATATATATATATGTAAACAGCTCATACTGTTGCTCTTTCATTACACAAGCGTCTGGAGATGGAAAGCATTCGACGCATAGGTATGTAATCATGTCTCAGGAGGAAGAAAGAGCATGGAGGTCAGGCCTTCAGAGACAGAGACAGACAGAGAGAGAACATTCCTGAAAAGTTGGAGTATGACTGACAGCCTGACAGGACCACACTGACTCACAGGAAGAAGTAAACACTGGGTCAAGAGGTGCACTGGAATAATACCGAGTGCTGCATGCAGCTTGAATATGGACTGAGTTCTATTAATGTACGGTTGGTTTAAATGGCCGATTTTACAGATTGCTATTAACACAGGTGATGTTCAACTCATGGCCCCATTATAAAACTGAATGGCATATATTGTGCGATATCTGAAAGCCTGCAATGCTGTAGTACAAAAAAAAGTCCTGTCTGGAGCAAATCATATCAGAGGCTGTAAGAAGAGAAGGAAAAAGTGCTAGACCTTGCATAGAAATAATAAATACTACCCAACAAGCCAAGCAAATATACATTATTTTTCATTCATGTCCGAAAACTGATTGTAATGAGCAAAATGTCTGCAAGTGTAAATTCATTTGATTAAAATGGAACCATGTTAGTTCGATTTTTTAAATTAATTTAATAATTTTTTTTTAGAGAGGCAATTACAAACATCTGATACAGTTTCAGTCAAACTCTTGTGCATTAATATTGCACTGAGAAAGCAATTCATTCCTGAGTCAACTCAAATACAGGAAGTGAACCGAACATGCCATGTGTTGCTGGTTGTCGATGAGACGCGAGGAACAAACTGTTATGTGCTGCGCTAACGCGATGCTTTCTGGAGCTCTGGACTGATTTGAACAAAAACAAATCGAAACAGCGAATGCGATACACACAGTGTTTTAAACGGCTAATTATCTAGCAATATATTGAGCACAGATTTTTTTTAGGATTTCTATACACCCTTGGAAAACTTTTTTTGGGTTACTTTTTTTTCGCAGGGCTACCCTACAATATTCCATCCATCCATCTATCTTCTAGCGCTTACTCCTTTTCAGGGTCGCAGGGGAACCTGGAGACTATCAAAGGAAGCATCGGGCACAAGGCGGGGTACACCCTGGACAGGGTGCCAGTCAATCGCAGGGCAACCCTACAGTATTACTATTTATTATTATCGTTTTCTTATAAGGCATTTAAATCCAAATTATGGGTGCTTTAGCAGTATGATTTTCACTGGTAACGTGAAACCTAAAGAGTTTAAAAGCAATAATCTTCTACTCAGGTCAAATAGAAGCAAAGGTCTCCTGGTTTAATTTCAGTAATATTATTTATTATTGAGGGGGGGTACGGTGGCTTAGCGGTTATCACGTTTTCCTCGCACGTCCGTGGTTGGGGGTTCGAGTCGCTCCTCCGCACTGTGTGCGCGGAGTTTGCATGTTCTCGCCATGCCTCACGGGTTTCCTCCTCCAGTCCAAAGACATGCTTTGTAGACTGATTGGCATCTCCAAATACTGTGTGAATGTGTGTGCGTTTGTACCCTGCGATGGGTTGGCACCCCATCCAGGGTGTCCCCTGCCTTGAGCCCAGAGTTCCCTGGGATAGTCACCAGACTCCCCCACGACCCTATGTAGGATAAATGGTATGAAAAATGGATGGAATGGATGAATGGATCGATTATATATACCATTACCACAACTTGAAGCGTTTTCATACCTACACATTGACTACTTCTCTTCTGAAAGTCCACCTGCTCTACATTCAGCACACAACACATTTGGGATTTGAAACCAAACCTTTCACACCTATAGCAGTAAAGTGTGGAACAGGCTGTATCCAGAAACAATGTATCCTAATAAACAGAAACACTACTGTCAGACAAAGAACTCTACAAACGCTAGGCAGAGGGCGTGCTGTATAAAGTCAGCGGGGGTTCACCATATCATTTATACGGGATCGGATTTAATCTGCTTATCGTGGAGAGCATTAGGGCATCAGCAATCAGCGTTATGCAATAAAGAAGGCCACCAACTACGGAGTGCTGCTGCGGGGCTGTCTCTTTCGTTCTCTATCTATCTTGCAGACCATCTATGTTTGTTAATATATATGCATGAGCTTTTGTTTGATCTCCCACATCTCCTGCCCTCCATTCTCTCCCTCGGTCTCTGCTCTATCACACTCACGTTCATCTTTGATCTCCTCTCCCACTGCTCCTTTTTAACTCATATCGGCCTACATTCTAGAGATTGCCGACTGTGTGTGTGTGTGTGTGTGTGTGTGTGTGTGGATGAAGCCAATACATCACAGAAACTCTTGTGTGAACAAATTTATATAAGCAAGGCTAATGAGTTCATTTGTGTGTGTGTGTGTGTGTGTGTGTGTGTGTGTGTGCGTAAGTGTGTGTGTGCGTAAGTGTGTATGGACAAACACATTTGCAAGCATTAACGTGTGCATGAGATAATGGTATGGTTGTGTATGAGTTCTGAAATGGTTTGATGTTGCAGTCTCTGGCTGTTAGAATTTCTGTAAGCATCAGTTCCCTACCTAAGTTGTATATGAATGTCCCTTCAAGTCAAATACAAACAATTTGTGATATCAGAGTTTCTGACAACTGCACATCTGCTCATTCGTGTAATTATACAATCAGCCAATCATGTCGCAGAAGAGCTACGCATAAAACCGTACAGACACATTTCATAGCCCCGTCATAGACCTGTCAAGGGCTACATTTAACGATCACTCCAAATATCAGAATCAGGAAACCGGTGATAACTGTGATTTGGTTGTTGGTGGCAGAACGGGTTGGTTTGAGTATTTCAGAAACTGTTGAATCTCTTGAGTTTTCACACACAACAGATTCTAGAGTTTGCACAGAATGCTGGGAATTCCAAAACAAACCAAAAATAAACATACAGTGAGAGGCGGGTCTGTTGGCGAGAGAAATCAGAAGAAAATGGCCAGGACTGGTTCAAGCTGATGGAAAGGCTACGGTAACTCAAAGAACCACTCTTTACAGCTGTGGTGAGCAGAAATGTATCCTGGACTGCACAACAGAAGAAGACCGCATCCGATTCCACTGCTGTCAGGCAAGAACAGGAATCTGAGGCCACACTGGCTCACAGAAACTTGACATATTGGATAATTTTTTTTTTTTTTTTTTTTTATATTGCATACCTTCGTTCACGGTGCCTCATCACTTTGTCGTTCAATATTTTCCTATAACAGCATGAAATGTCATGTTTTATTCCTTACATCTCCAAGCACTGAATACACCATATTCGGCTGTGGCTCAGGTGGTAGAGCGGGTTGTCCACTAATCGTAGGGTCGGCGGTTTGATTCCCGGCTCACGTGACTCCACATACTGAAGTGTCCTTGGGCAAGACACTGAACCCCAAGTTGCTCGCGCTGGCAAGTTAGCGCCTTGCATGGCAGCTCTGCTACCATTGGTGGGTGAATGAGACACAGTATAAAGCGCTTTAGATAAAAGCGCTATATAATTGCAGACCATTTACACTATATGCATCTGCATGACAGGGGAAGTCGTTAGAAGTACAAGTAACTAACTAATGCTAGTGATACACTTCTTAATTATATCTGAGAAACATGTAAAAGCAGCATCAGTTGCGTGTGACGCATGATCTTAAGAGAAATTATGTACTTTAAATAGTAAAAAAAAAAAAAAGGTAAAAGTAAGAAGAAAATAAACGATATGACCTCTAACCCCACTTAGAACCATAAAGTTGAACGTAACTTCTTATTTCTCAGGTGAGTCATGCAAATTACAGACTTGCAAGAGTGAAATCAGGTTGACTTTGATTGAAGGCACTTAAAAAGCACTCTTGGTGCTCTTGAGAGTGTGTCTGAACACATTCGTCTTCTTCTGTCTTGACAATGGCCAAATGTGTGTTGGCTTCTGTTCTGGCTCATATGAGCAGCGCACCGCCGGTGCATCAGAAATAAGCACAGCGTGAGGCCAGGAGCACTCATTTCTAAAACAGCTCAGTCACACTCCGAGACAAGAGAAATTACTGTATGATTACCCATGATACCGTTCCACGGGCAGCCGTGACACATTCATTAAAGCAGTGGACAGTGGATAATTGCTTTCTACCGACAACAAGTTGCATGGCCGATAATAGTCTTGACGTTTTAACGGTTCCCTATGGGAGGTAAATGAGCACTAAAAGGATGAGAAATCTTATCAGGATTCACCACATGCCTCTCTTCTTCTCTTTTAATTCTCTCTTTCTTTCTTCCTTTCCTCATCTCTTTTGCATTCTTCAATCTAATTGCGGTTGTAATATATAGCCCTGTTAAGTGTTTTATGCGTTTGTGCTGGGCCAGGAGCTAATTTGCTAATTGAACCTTGAAGAAAAAAAAAATAAAACAAAACAAAGGCAGGACTACACATTAGACACATACACACACCTATACTGATGTTTATTGTCTCACCAAAACCGATTGATCCCTAGATAAGACCACACAGATAATGAGTAATTTTTGAAAAGTCAGCACAGGATGTGTGCAAGATCAATTCCAATGATGCACCAGTTCTCCACCCGATTTTTCTCTCGCACAAAAAAAAGCCCTCTTTACAAGCTGCTGAGCCCTGTGCACCTTCAAGAAGGAGAAAAAAAAAATTCAAAGTTGTAAAAAAAAAAAAAAAAAAAAAAAAACCTCCCTCTGTCTTTTGTCAGACAAATGCAGGGCATAAAGTTTGGCACGGTGACTCTGTTTTCAGGTCACTCGCTGAGCTAGTAATATAGTCATCGTCTTAAAAAGCCTAGTGCGCCTGTGGGTGTTCAGCTTGGAGAAAAGCGTTTTTAGAATGATGCTCTCTCACAACACATGCTGTTTTTGCTCAAATAGCCTTCTGATCCAGAAAGAGAGATCAAGCAAACACATCCCAGCTGATGGCACTTAAAGGCTCGGAAACAAAGCGTTCTCTAAACTTGTCATGTCTGCTGGAGCACACAGAGAAGGAACGTTGATGCTACTTCAACCACTGGGAATGAAACAGTTTGAAACTTCACAAGGCCCCATACGGACCTCTGTCTAATGCCTGGCATGCAGAGATCCCAAGAGATGCAATGTTCTAAGACTTACAGCACAGCAAAAAAATAAAAAATAAAATTGGTTTATTTCTTAGATCCATTTTTAGACTAAGTGTCCACTCTACATATTACAAATGACCACATTTTCCCCACACACATTGGCTGTTATAGTAGTAGTAATAATAATAATAATAATAATAATGATAATAATAATAATAATAAACATCAATACAATAAGTACAATTCAATATAACACAACAACTAGTCCAAGGCAGATGAAAGTGAGCAAACTAGCCAGGTATAAACACTAGATTAAACAGCATAGGTTTGCATTCATTTATTCATCTTCCATAACCAGAGGGTGCCTGGCTAGCTCAGTTCGTAGAGCACGGGATTCTTGATCTCAGCGTGGGTTTGAGCCCCATGCTGGGTCCCAACCCCAGCCACTGGGGGTGTACAGGCTTACTCACTTAGTCTAAATTTGGATTTCAGAAATGAACCAAAGTTCCTTTGCTGTGTGCTGAAAATCTTAGAACATTTCATCTCTTGGGATCCCTGCATGCCAGGCATTCAACAGGTCCATAAGGGCCTCGTAATGTTTCTAACTTTTTCAATCCCAGTGGTTGAAGTAGGGTTAGCGTTCCTTCGCTGTGTGCCCAGATAAACGGGTAGGGTTGCTCCAGGAAGTGGATCCAGTGCAAAAAAAAAAAAGCGCCAGAAGTAAAAATGCGCATGGCTGATGCGCACTCTGGCAACCCTGAACGGTTGCGGCCAAAAGTGGGATTCATCTTCAGTAACTATTTTATTCTGGCCAGGGTTGCAGTGGATCCAGAACCTATCCCAGAACACTGGGTGGCAGGTGAGAATACACACTGGATGGGAGACCCAGTCCATCCTAGGGCATCATGCACACACCTTCACAAATCCACCGGCAGATTGTGAGGTCGGAATAGACAGAGAACCTAAAGGAAACCCACATGAACACAGGGAGAACATAACAAACTCCGCACAGAGATTGACCTGAGCTCAGGATCAAACGAGCGACCCTGGAACACTACCTGTTGAGCCAGATTATGCTTGAAATATTACAGAAAATATTCCAGTCAGGGTTCTGAACATACTGTATATGACACATACAAAAGCAACAAAACGAATACGTTTTTAAACACAGAAAGATGAACATGTGTACATGTGTACTCGGGATCTCTCTTCCTACAACCTGCCTTCAATTCTGCTTTTCATCTACAGTACAGTGCAATGATGTTCTTGGCACTAACTTTTGATGTCAAGAAATGCAGCTCACTAAGCAATGTGATTTGACCTGATGCCAAGCCAGCCGTATCTCAAGAAGATTGTCTTAACTCTCTCCGATCATTAGCTGTCATTCAAGAGGAGAAGACCCTTAGCTAGAACTGTTAACTATGCACTATAACATTCTGATCATCACACTGTGACAAATATAGCAGCTTGACCTGTGCTCACAAGGAGAAAAAAAGGTACAAACACTTGTCACTGGGGTCGTACCCTCAAGTGTATGTCTTTAGACATACAAGCACAGGTGTACGTGATCGTAATTGAAGTATAATTGGACCCCCTGTACACTGACGTGGTTTTACCTCTATAGAATGGGTATTAACAAAGATGCAGGAATATAATTAAACATAGACTTATACAGAGTCTAGTTAACGAAAGCTAAGACACTGAAAGTGGTGATAGAATTATAATAAAGTGTTAAAATAAAAAAACATGTCAAATTACGAAGTCATATATCAGTGTTGCCGGTAGTAGCGTGTACACGGCATAAGGATTGCAAAGCCTGGCTGCACCGTCAGTCTCTGAAATGAGACATTAATAACAAACTCATGTTCATTAGACATGCACCGCAGAGGCCAAACAAGGTTACACTTTCCAGAGAGCAGGAGGGAGTGTCTAGCAGCACTCTGATATTAGAGGAAAGTGGATGCAAACTGAGCTGGGTGCTTGGGCACCCTGGACCATTGGGTCTGAATGGAGCAGAACACCATCTATTAACACTCTCTGCCTAATTATGGCTCGCATCTCTGACATCTCCTGTGCTGAACTTAATGGCCATAAAGCCATTAAAAACCCCACATGTAGCACATCAGCTGGTAGTAATAGGTGTAGCTGTAATTAAAGATCCAATTAGGAAAAGCAGATCTGCGATACTGTAGCAACAAAACAGTTGCTGAACTCCTCGAGACAGCCATCTTTGGCCATAAATAAATTCAAATTAACCTTACGTGTGGCATCACTGAGGTGAAGACAGCGATCTATTTTGTTCAGCTTGATGACCTTAAGAGCAGCCATTTAATTAGAATGTTGCTGCATTGGACATGGACCCTCTTGCTTCCTTCCAACTGTTCCCAAGGTTAATTAACACGAACAAGCAAACAAGCATGTAAAACCATTCCATCGAGGACATGCTTATTTGCAGTGACGGTCCTGATCCGCATAGACCGTGATGAATTTAAAAAGAGCCTCTTGTATCCTTCATATACCCTAGTGGATATATTTTGTTATTGCAGTCATAAACACTGTCCATGCACATGCTAGGTTTCATTCATATGCTCATATTAGAGACGGCACCAGTATCAGGATCGTGCTGATAATCTTCAAAAATGGTGGGCCGGATATCAGAGAAAATCCGATCACGATCGGTTAAAAATGGCGAACATTGGAGCTGGGTTTGGGGAAGTAATTTCTTCTTGGGAAGTGGAAATATAGTTTTTAAAAAAAGAACAAAAGCGAGTGGTGAAATTTGATTTCATGGCACATTACCTCCCAAAAAATATTGAGTGATACTGATGAATTATGCAATATAATGAATTAAATACAAATGGTTGATTTCAGGTAGTCTTCACTAAAACGTATTGTTTTTGGCGTCTGGTGCAGAGATACCTCAAAATTAGTAACACTTTTGGCAACATTTAAATGAAAAAAAAACAAAAAACAACAACATCTGCCTCATCCAGGAAAGTTTCCATCCATCAACCCCATATGCAAGTCATGCTGCCTGCTTTATACTGCGTGTTACTCATGAAGGAACGAACCTTTTTACACTCTTAGGCACAACAGAGCTGAAAAATCCCACATTCAGAATAGGATCATAATCATATATACCGTTTTCCCTTTTCACTCATTTCCATTGAAACTATTCAAGGGATTTTTTTTGAGAGAGTCTGGAGCCCCAAAAACACATTTGGTTAAATCTCTGTGAAGGCTGTTCAGGGACCGGAACATGCTTGTTATATTAGAAAAGAAAGAAAAGTGCATTAATGCAATTATATATCTCTTTTCATTTCCTTTGCACGGATAAACTGAATGGGATTCTAGCTCAGCATGAGAACAAAAAGACAGCCCTGGTGCTACTTACCATCTGCTGGTGCTTGTCCTTCACATCATAGACGCTGAGCTTGATGAGGCTGTCCTCGTAGACGGGCCAATCGGGCGACAAACTCACACCAGTCAGGAACAGAGGATCTCTTGTTCCCTGCCAGGAGAGAAAAGACAACATGGAGTATGTAAGAAAAGGGTCTCGGAAACTTAAGGGCTGGTGAGTGAGTTAACAGCTGTGCACAGTTCGCTACACATACAGGGGCTCGATCCACGCTCGGTCGCAGAGTATTAGAGAAGAGAGGGAGGGCGGCTTGGGACAGAAAACGTTCTGGCTACAATCCGACTCTGGCGTAGTGGAGATGGACAAGCTTTAATAGCTACGTGTGAATTTTGATCAGTGAGCGTTTTTCTAGACAAGGACTCGGGATGAAAAACCAAGAGACTCCAGCAGAGAGACACAGGCACCCCACTATGATAATCCACTCCAGCTCAAACAGCATCTGTTTATGCTCGGAGACCTCACTCGCTCTCAGAGCTGGCCTCAGATCTGCTTCCAGAATGCCATGATAATCTTCTAATGTGGGCATATATGGTGCGTTTTGATCAATCTGGGACCTGTTCTCTGGGGACCGAGGCATTTATTCTGGCACTTCCTTAAGCCATGGGGTGTGTCAGGAACACAAGATCCCTGTGAGATTGAGCAAAGGGGGATAATGAGCAGCAATTACACACACAAACCCAACCCACCCGCACACACACACAAACACACACGCGATCTAAAAGCTCAGTAAACACTACTACAAGCCATTTAGGTGAAAAAAGATCCTGCCTTGGGTGCGATAACGCTTTGAAACACGGAACTTCGTCATGGACAAAAACAGATCTGCAATTAGTCAAGCCAGGATCAATAACTGTGCAGTCTATCTATTTAGTTATGTTTATTGATGTTGCAGACATCTTCTTCTTTGCAGAGTATCGCCTTTAGGTCTTTCAGCGTTTTTGGAGATTGTGGAAGGAATCAATAGACTAAATGAGGCAGCAGGAAACCTGCATCAAATACAAACAACAACAACAACAACAACAACAAAAAACCCCCACTAACGTACACAGCACAAACTACCAAACATGACTACTAATCAGAACGGTAATATGTACGCCATGACCAGTTAAATAACTCGTTTTTCTCGAGACGATACATGTTACAATTCTGTATTTGAATACATTCAAATAGTACAGCCTAGTTTCCTATTTTATGTTGAGAAAACAGTATCGTCAGACTTTTATTTATCACAACGTCTTCATTACCATTCATTTTCTTGTCGTTGATATCTAGCTATATTACAGTTATATATATTTACAGAGGTTGCGTTTAAAATCCCGCCAAATACATCTCCGATCATCACAGACCGAACACAGGCCCAACCCCCGATTACTTCATATTCACTACATACGCTCACAACATGGAGTATGAAATATTAGCCGTATAGAACCTAAATAGTGTGTATGCCAAATAAAATGCCATTTGAGAAAGGAGTGACACGTGTACAGGTATTGCTTGGAATTGGGTTCGAATGAACGTTCGTTATGGACCTTAAAGTAGTATTTTAAATGTTTAAATGCAGAGTTTATTTATTTTATTTATTTATTTATTTTTATTTTTTATTTACTTTTTGTCTACGTAAAGCATAAACCAAATCTATAAAATGTCTCAAATAAGAACATTGGCTATACGGCATCCACCCCACAACTCTAGCAAACTTTCCATCAAAGGCTGTCAAACGTTATGCATAAATCTCTAGCCAATCAAATAAATAAACAAATTAATAAATAAGGCTACCATTTGGTCTGTAAACCTCCTAAAGACACTTTTATTCCTTCTCATGTTGTTCAATTTTCTCTCGCACACAAATCCTCAGAGATGGCTCAAGCTCTTTACTCGTTCACTAAGTAGCCTATCAAAGAGTGCCTGTGGTGCCGTGCCATCACGACTACAAACCTACGCCGATGCTAATGCCACACCGCACTCACCAGCATGCCAGCAGACAGAGAGAGGACGCGCAGTGCACCTCGGCCAGA